TTTTATAAAATAAATATATATATATATATATATATATATGTATGTATGTATATATGTGTACTTATATATATATATATATATGTAAGCATGTATGTATATGTATGTACATATATATATATATATATATATGTAAGCATGTATGCATATGTATGTACGCACACACACACACATATATATATATATATATATATATCAGATGAAGGGGGTAGGTGTTTGCGTGAGGTGTTGTGCTAATTTATCTATAAACACCCTTAGTATGTCATAATAGTTCACTTCTTCAAATAAAATTCAACATAAAATGCAATTAGCGGCTCAAAAAATACACAGTAGACGTTCCCATATACAGTGGATGCGAAATAGCTGTCACCCAAGAACACGCTAACTGCACGATTACGATCCACCTGATAGCACATGTACAATTTACACTACAATACAGCACGTCGTCATCACCACTTACGTTAACCGCACTGGTCAGTGTGCTGTCCTTCTTGTTATGTTTCACGCCCGCTTCTCGGCCCCCATCCTGCTGGACTATTCTATCCTGGCTAGGTCTCTTCACACTCTGCACCGTACCTGTGCCATCGGCACTCAACCTCTCCGAATCATTGATCCGTATCTGAGTCGACGAATTGGACTTCTGGCCATGTCGAGGACTACTGAACTGTTGTTGCCGTGGGGTCAGAGCCTGAGTGGTTCGGTGCTGTGTTTCTATAGCATTATGCTGCTTCAGATTCTGGTGGTTTGCCTGCTGTTGATGTTGCTGTTGTGGAGGCCCCTGTCCAATGTATCCAGAATGGACTTGGCCCTGTGATGCATGCGCGTTCATCGTCTGAGGCATCAATGTGTTTTGAGAGGGAAAATGAGACTGTATCTGCACTTGTTGGTCCGGTATCTGGCCCATATTGCAACCCAAATTTGGGCTATGTAGCGGACTGGGCTGCGGTGAGTTCTGCGATTGGGAACGCCCCACCTGGCCCGCACCCACGCCCAAATTACCGGGGTTGGGCTGCAACAGCTGATGTGAGTTACCCGCATACTGGCCATGGTTTTGATTCAAGTGAGAGGTTTGCATCGCCTGTTGCTGTTGTTGTTGTTGTTGTTGTTGTTGTTGCAAGTCCTGTTGTTGCTGTTGCTGTTGTCGCTGCATTTGTTGCAGCAGCTGCTGTTGGCGCTGCAGCTGCAGCAGCTGTTGTTCTTGTTGGCGGTGATTTGTCGACGAGTGCTCGAAAAGTTGCTGTTGTTCGTAATGCGCTCGCATCAGCTCAGCCTGTCTCGCCTCGTAGTCTTTGATCGAGGGATGGACAGAATACTTATCCTCTATCTTCTTCGCTTCATACGGACGTGTTTGTGTCTGTCGCTGACGTGGTTGCTGCGTACCCGAGGTTTGCTTATTCAGAGCGTGCTTCAATATGGGTTGCGGTGATGATGTCTGTGATCTCGGCAGGCTCCTTTGTTGCTGGTGCGTTGGTTGCATATGCTGGAATTGACTTTCTGCCGTCTTCCCCTCTGAACTTTCGCTCCTGACTCGAATTTGGCAGGCACCATTCGAACCCGTATTCCGCGTTTCTTTATTCCGCGATCCATTCTTCTCATGACTCTGTCGCCCATAGCTTCCTGGAACTCCCTTACTCACAGACCTTTCTCTATCCATATCCCCAGAGATATTCCGATCACTGTTTCCTCTGAATTCTCTACTGCCACTATTCACAGATGAAGGCGAATACTTCATACTTTTGTTTTTACCTGATTGAGGTCCTGGCTGTGGATTCGAGCCCGTTGCAGGCGATGGGTGTGATGTAGGGATACTTATAGTATGATCTAGCGCGGGCGACACGTTCCCCGAGTCTGTATGCTGTGACATATAGCTCGTACTCCGTTGTTTGGTAATACTACCCTGTCTCGATGTTGGCTGACTGTCCTGTGACTGCTGTTGTGGCGCATTCTGGTGGACATGTGGCAGCTGCTGCTGCTGCAGTGGTACGGGTTGCGGAGCCTGTGTACGCAGTTGATCGCCCATCGGAATGTGCATACTGAGGTTCTGCTGAGCCCGGTCGTATTCCTGCTGTTCTAATTGTTGTTGTTGCTGTTGTTGCTGCTGTTGTTGTTGGTGTTGTTGTAAGTGTAACTTTTTTAAATTGGGATAGCTCCGTGATTGTACACCCTTATACTCCAGTACCGCTCCTGGTTGCAGCTGTTGTGGTTGCAGCTGTTGTGGTTGCAGCTGTTGTGGTTGCAGCTGTTGTGGTTGCAGCTGCTGCTGAGGTGGCAGCCGTTGCTGTATCGAAGTATACTCCATCTGATGCTCCATCTGATGCTGCAGCTGTTGCTGCAGCTGTTGCTGCTGCTGCTGCTGCTGCTGCTGCTGCATAAGCTGTTGCTGCAGGTCATGCTGTTGCTGTGCCATCTGACTCTGTTGCTGTTGTTGCTGATGATGTGGATTTGATCGTTGTGTATGACTGTACAATCCCGTATGAGAATTCTGGCGCGAGAACTGTGTCTGTGATTGTGAGTGTTGTGCTTCTGGTTGTATACTCATTTGTGTCTGCAATGATTTCTGTTGCATCTGTTGTCGCTGTTGTTGGTGTTGTATTTGCTGCATATGCTGCATCTGCTGCTGTTGCCGCTGTTGCTGTTGTTGTTGCTGTTGCTGCTGTAGTACTTCATGTGGTCGATACATATCTGTTTGATTGCTGCCCTTTTCCATCTGATCTCGCATATTGGTTACCGCTGGCATCCCGTAGCCCAACGGGTTCTGCACCATGTCGCTCTGTTCCACCCGCAGATTTACACTGTCATTTAAATGTGCAATACTGACCACATTCTGGCCTCCCAATTGCGCCTGTGTCTCGTACGGCTGCTGCACTGCACCGTAGTTTTGAATACTCATACCACCATTGGCGTTCGCGGTATTGTCCACCTGTTCATGATGGTTACTGTGTGTAATACCATTGGCGCCTTGGCCACCATTTTGCCAGCCGCTACTTGTTTGCCTTTGGTACTCAGCCATGATCGTCTACCCACGCAGGAAGGGTTACTGCTGGTAAGATAAAGCTCGGATATAAAGACGTTTATGTGGAACATTCCACACCCTCTAATACTCTTATGTAGTTCTGCCGTGGCATCTAATTATGCGTCAAATCCAGCCGCACATACCATTACTATGGATGTTGCACACAGCCTTCACGTCTGCTCCACTGTCGCGTTCTTACAGTATGTAACCATACATTGTGTCAGTCAAAGTCAAAACATCCGAGTGAAACTCGATTCTCATTCTCTGATTATTCGCTTTTAGGACCACTCTCTGTGCTCTGTAGTCTGTACACTGTGCTGCTTGGCATAATATTTATTGTTGGAACAAATATTCAACAATAAAAATGTAGGACATCATTGATATTTATTTATATTTATTTTATTTTTAGATGAACATTCGAAATTTTATTTTTTTGGTTTGGGTTTTTTTGTAAAACAATTTTTTTGCCTGCCCAAATTGGTATTTAATTTCTGGTGTCAATGTTTTGCTTTTTGCTTTGATGCTTTATTTTCTTTTTGGGTTACGCAGGGTTATGACTTATTTTTAGTGAAGCCGTATGTTCTATTTTGGGACACTTATGCTACAGAATTTATTTAAACACGCACAAAATACCATGACCTCCTATAAATACATAAAATTTGTATACTTCACGCGCACGCCGCCAACCTTCAGATGGTAGAGAAGTTTGATAATATTTTAATAGTGTTCGCGGAAGGTCCAGCGATTATATATATTATAATACGTGCACATAGACATCAGACACGGATGCCCTATACAGCTCTTAGCTGTATCAATACCCTGATTACTTAAGGACAAATAACCCGTCGCCGACATACAGTACGTCTGTTGAACTCAGGAGATTAGCAAAACCTAGACCGCGCTATGAATAGTATCCTCGGAAATGACAAATCATTTTTTTAACCTCTAGGTAGAGTGAAGGCGGTCAATAATTATGAATCAGATTATAGCGATGTTGCCCTCAACACATTTGCTGTCTAGGGTGATTGAGTTGAAACTCATCCCGGACTTGTAGCCAACTGGACCATACTCCAGTCATATTACGAGTAAACGCGACACATGCTAAACAAGACTTGGTATGCTTTGGTGTACAAAAGATAGTCGCGCAATCCGTGTGTGCTAGAGTCACCATCGAGAGAGTGGTTTGAGAATTTCAAAGAATTGTCGCTATTACTATCAAATAGAAAGTAAGGAAACCCGTTATTGCCATAGATAATATTGTAGCGCGCATCTTTTTACGAGTGTGCACCGACTGAGTATGTCAACTATTTTACGATTCCTTGAACCTTTATTTCCTAGCTGACGTTATTTCTGCAAGCAAAGAATCGATCCTATGAACATGCAAGTTGGCTTTGAGCCGTCTGCGTTGCTGTGCTTTGGTAATTGGAGCAGGTTCGCCATTTTCTGGAGTAGGAATAAATTGGTGTATGAAATAGTTGCTTAGATTCGATACTACATGCAATTGAAGAGGAAGACAAGGGAAAATGAAACGAATTGAAACAACGGGATTATTTAGTTCACCGAAAGAAGGTTCATCAGGAACAGTACTTACCGACATAGGACCAGTCTGGTGAATCGGTCAAGGGCCCGTAATCATTTCCACTGCGACCTTGTCCACGACTATAAGCAAAAAAATGGGAATCAACTTTTAAGTAACAACAGAGAAGCATGAAACTAACCGCGCGATCAAATGAACAAGATACACACCTGCATTTGAGTTAATTTTAGGGTTTAAAAATCGTAAGAGCGTTTTACATAGTGCACGAACGCAAATTTAGTTCATACGATTATATATATATGTGTGTGTATTTATATATATATATGTATGTGTGTATGTATGTAATATACGTATGTATGTATAAATATATATATATATGTGTGTGTGTGTATGTGTGTGTGTGTATGTATATGTGTATGTATATGTATATAAATATATATATAAATATATATATTAATTTATATATGTATGTATATATATATATATGTGTGTGTATATATGTATGTATATATGTATGTATATGTGTAC